AATTCTTGTTTATTACAGTTTCTTTTATACTGTTGATTAGACAATTTTAACTGAAGTTGGTTGTAGAGAATAGAAACCTCTCAATAGAGTTAACTTACAAAGATAAATTTTATGCAGAAAAGCATTTCAGGTAGATTAGGAGTAGTGTTATTACTTTCAGGTATTACATTAAAAGCTGCCCAGAGAGCTGACCCATCACTTCATATAATGAAAATAATTTCAATAAGCAATTTTACAGCTGTTATTACATGGATTTGAAAGGAAATCATCAAAAGAACAGAAAGGATAAATAAAAAACAAAGTAGGAAAATTGGAGGGGAAAGTTATTTACCACAAGACTGATTTGTTGTATCAAATTTTTGTCCCGCCTTTGAAATAAGAGATATGAAATACTGTAACATCTTCTTTTTGAAAGACATTATAACATCTAATTATGATGTTTCATGGGACATTTTCCAGTTAATTTTGTTTAAATGTGAGATGATTATACAAAAATTCCTTAAGACTAGAAAGAATAAAAACTTGTAGCCCCACGTATTCTTGTCTGTTAAATGAGGTTTGCTGAAATCATCATTCATAGCATAAAATATAAATAGGAGTCCTTTGGTGATTTGAGCTTTTGTAGTTTAAATGTATGCAGGATCTGAGCTGATAATAGGAAAGTTAGGCTCATTATTGAGTTGTATTGAAAATTGGCATCCCATTTATAAGAAAAGGAATATTCCAATACTCACGAACATTTAGTTAAAGTTGAATTAGTGCAATATTTATTCAAAAAATATTTTGTACCTAAAATGCCAACAATTTCAGGAAACACCACAATTTCATAGTTGTTAAATTGAAAAAGTGTGTGTCTTAAAATCAACGAGACACATATAGATACTATAATCAGTTACATTCAATAAATTTGATATGGAGGAATTAGAAGAGAAAAGGGAAATGATCTGAAAGAAGGTAATTCTATATTTCTTTGAGAAGAGTGGCATTGCATTAAGTGGAGATTGTAGGGTCAATTTAGATATATACAGTGATAACTTAAATAGTAAGAGTAAATAAAAGAATACAATATACATATAATTGAAGATCTAAGTAACTGAAGTTCACTTGCTAGATTTATGACAAGATATATATCATGAATCTTTAAAAATGGAACGAAGCTCAGTGTTGTAAAAATTTTAAATTCTTGGTTTTTAATGGATCTGTCTTTGTTTAAAAGCATAGCATCAAATGAATATTAAAATCAGTAAAATATATGTAGAATTGAAGGTCTTACTTATAACATTACATTGTTATTATTCACTATTAGGCTTATTGAGCTTATAGTTTTAGGGAAATCTCTTGGGAAATATAAATATAAAAAAAGCAGAAATCAGGAAAGGAAAGAAAAGCCTGTGAGTCTTATCTAGTCTACAGGTACCCGGAGTTGTAAAACTTTCTGGAGAAAAATGTTCAAAGTCTAACATACAATATTTCAGTGTTTCATGGATGCCTGCTTTTATACATAAAATATCTTCAGTTGAAATGAAACAAGTATTGTAAAGATTTGGAATTTGTTCTTTGGTGAAATATTGTTCTTATGTATCCGCTAATTTTAATTTTTTTGAGTTTTGTAAAATTTCCCTCCAAAAATCTACATTTTTTGTTATATTTATAAACCAAAGTTGAATTGAACATCTTGGACATGATTAAAATTTCAGTAAATTTAAAAACACATGTGTACAACAGTGTAAAGGTGTCCCAGATAAATCAGTTGCATACAGTTATGTTGTAGTGTCAGTGTGGTACATTTCTTATTAGTCATTAACAGATTTTAGGGCACAAACATGATACCGTACCAAAGTGTTTTTCAAGTTCGTAATTTTGTTAGCAGGTTAAAGTTTCATTACTTGTGTTTGATATCCATGAAAAACACATGTGTACAACAGTGTAAAGGTGTCCCAGATAAATCAGTTGCATACAGTTATGTTGTAGTGTCAGTGTGGTACATTTCTTATTAGTCATTAACAGATTTTAGGGCACAAACATGATACCGTACCAAAGTGTTTTTCAAGTTCGTAATTTTGTTAGCAGGTTAAAGTTTCATTACTTGTGTTTGATATCCATGAATCTCAAAAGGCTGTTGTGGTCATAGCAGGTGAAAAATAGGCTCTATTTACATAAGTTATTTAATCTAAGAATACCCTGTTTCCCCTTATCTTTTAATTAAGTATAACTAGTCAAATATTAATTATCTTCTCACAAACCATTACAAGGAAAAACATCAATTATTCAAGTAATATGTAAGCCCTAAAATCTTTAAAGAATTAGCTTTTTAAGTAAAAAACAAACAAGAAAAGAAAGCACAAAACATCCCAATCACTACAATCCCATGATAACTATAACCATCACGTAGCACTGAATTGCCTACAAGGAAGTTTGTTCCTTCCTAAGATAACAACCTTGGTCCATTTTAAAGTTAGTGCAAACGAGTGAGGGTTTAAAATATATAAATCCTTAATTTTTAAGGATTTCATTTTATTATGCTGTTTTGCTATGGTAATTAATTTCCTATGGTAATTAATTTATTGTTCACAAGCACTGTAATGTTAAATTTTAAAGTGTCAGCACTTTAAGTAATAGATATCTTCTACTTTTTCATTTTGGTGGGTTCTCAGGCATCCATTTATTTGTGTATTTATAAAAGGATGCTTATATGCATTAGGCTACAAAATACAATTTTTACATCATTGTTAGTAACCAAAATTTTCTTACACAAGTGACTCACAGTACAAAATTAAGTCAATGTTCCCAATCTCTCATTTGGGGAAGGAAATTATGTTCAATTTAGCATCATAACTGCTAGCTATAGAGGACAGTTAATGGAGCTGTTGTGTTTGTTGGCTTCAGAACAACTTACATTTTTTTTTCATTTCTCTCTGGGGCAAAATACAGGATGGAGATTAATTTTCATCTAGAACTTTTATCCAAATCCTTCAAGACAGCAAATCTGTTCTTATTTATAAGAAGATATTTGAAATAATTTCATTTGCTGTCTTAAGTAAAATTGTACTTCACACCGGACAGTTGCACTGCTAGCCAATAAACTCAGATGGAATAGGTCTGTGGGAGTATGGTATGTGAAGAAGTTTCCTTTGGAGAAGTTAGGGCTCATGGGCCTCCTTAGCAAAGTCTGAAATTCAGCAAAGCACAAGTCCAGGGGGTGCTGTTCATAAGCTATAGTGTGAAGAGATTCCCCTGTGTCATGCCATGATGCTGATTAGAAGAAAAGATTGGAATGCAATTACGGACAATTCAGTTAGCATTGATTTCTCTACCTTGCTTTGACATTTTCTCATACCCATGTACCTAAAACATCCGCAAATCACATTTAAAAATGTTGCGAATTAGGGCCAGGAATTTGGCTCAGTGGTTCCTCTGCCTGCCATGCAAGCACAGGACCTGAGTTCGATCCCCAACACCCAGTACCAAAAAAAAAAGTTGCTAATTGAGTATTGTAAAGATTCAAGAGGTAGCACAGTAGTGTGCATTGAGCACTGGCTTGCAATTAGAAAACATAAACTCAACCTAGTGCTGGCACTTTATCACTTGGATGTTTCTTTGAGAAATTATTTAAACTTAACTAAGCTTTGGTTCTCTAAGGGAGAACTAGCTTAGTTTTAAGACAACACCTTTCCTCCTCCAATTTTACACTTTTATGGAATATAATGGGTCAGGTTGGGGTGAATTCAGGGAAAGAATATCTTTAGGTTTCATTGAAGGGCCAAAAATATATAGCTTTTCATTTGAAAAATGTTGATACCTACTTGGAGTAAAAATCTTAGGAAATTCATTCACAAGTGTGGGATTTGGCTTGAGGCAGTTCCTCATTGTCTTGTAAATTTCAATTTACAAGTTAGACTAATGAAATGGTGAAGCAATCCATCCAGTTTATCAGGTAAGAAGGTACCACATCTTTAGATACTGAAGCTATTCAGGTTTAGGTGATACTTTACAGTGTCCTTTCTTAACATTCAACTTTTAAAACCACTTATTCTAATAAAGTGACATTATATTACAAGTTTGTATGACAGTAGTACCTCAGCACTTATTTAATCCAGTCATCTGTGACATATATAAACTTATCCTGGAAGGAATAAAAACAAAGTATAAATGCAAAGAGGAGAGAAGGTTGGAATTAGTATCCATTTTGTAAAAAAGGAGAACACATAAACACATGCATCAAACTACACAGTTTCACAAGCAATATCCCTCAAGGTTAAAGTTCTATCTGTTCACCCCCTGAATGAGTCTAGTCATTCATTCTTAGCTAATCACTGCCAATAGTTGAAGTATTTGGCAATTTTTGTATGTAATGTCAGGCTATTTATTCATGTGCATGTTCTGGGAGGGGGTGCGCCCTTGTAGTGACACAGTGCTAACCTGTCCAAGAACACCGTGTCTCTCTGGGAAGCACAGGAATGGCAGGTACCTGTAAAGTGTAATCAGTGCTCTTCAGATGATCTACATTCTATGCTGATCTAAATAAGTTATATATTACAGTAAAGTGCTACATGACACTAGTCTCAAAACAGTAGTAAGACACATTTTTCTCTGAAAAATTCAGCAGCTATGTGAGTCACATGGCAATGAGGATGCCTGTCAGTCTTCTTTTGAATATTCAATCAGCAATTGGCATGGTCTTGAACAATTTGTTTCCTCCTGTGACTTTATATA